GAGCCGCACTAAAAAGCCGCGAGCATCACCAGCATCAGCCGCACTAAGGCTCACCCCAAGCCGAACTGGCCCAGGGTCACCAGCATTAGCTGCACTGGAGGATCAGCCCCAGCCGCGAGCATCACGAGCATGAGCCGCTTTGACGGTTGCCCGAAGCCCGACGTCAAAAACCTAGCATCACGAGCATCAGCGTGAACCCCAGCCGAACGTCACGAGAGCCGCGAGCATCACGAGCATCTGCTCCCAGGGTCAGCGGGCATCACAAGCACCAGCCGCATTTGAAGGTCAGCCCAAGCCCCAAGCATAACGAGCATCGGCCGGAGCAAAAAAAACGCTGGTCAACCGGTTTTTGGAGGCATGGTATACGGGGCGGAGTTTATTCATGTGACCCGTCACCGCTAAGGTAGACTCTGTAAGGGTCTGGCGCTTCGCACGTGCCCGGTACGCTGACAATACGTTTGGAGGTACCTGCTTGGCCTCTGCAGTGCTCACATCCAACGCTTCCTGCCCGCCTTCCAAAGGTGTCTTGAAGCAGCCGAGTGCCATGCAGCGAACTCTGCACAGGATCCGCCTCAGGTCGTGTGCCATGGGGTGCCTTCTCTGAGACTCATGGCCCCTGGCCCCTGTGGCCATCGAAGATTCCCGACAGAAAGCCAAGCTCGTGCAAGTCTTGTGCAGCAATGCGATCGTCGTTGCGCTCCTGCAGTCGAACGCGCCTACCGTGCCTGTCTTGTAACGGACTCTTTTGGTGTTGGTCCGGTCCTTCGCCCCTGCATTGGTGTCAACTCCACAGAGGAGGCCCTTCTGTCCCGCCAGTGGCCGGACCTCAGTTCGCACCATCCTCGCATCGCGCATGGCGTCACATGCTGTCTTTTTTGCAAAGGCTTCAAAGTAAGATCCACACATCCATGCAGACCTCGTCACAGGCAGAGGGCTAGATGATGCCCCAAGGTCGTGGAGATCTAAGCGGTGTGCGACTTCGGTCTTCTGCTTGCCATTGGCCTGAAGCTTCAGGCTCAGGATTTTGTAGAGAGATTGTGAGCCACCGAGTGCTCTGCAGCTTCACTTTTGATTGTCATCGGGAGAAAACTCACCTTACGGACTGGTGAATCACTGCCGCTCCAACGGCCTCTGTAGCCTCAGCCTCCGGCGCGTGTGCCATGGAACAGCCCGCCAGGCCTCAGGCAACAAGTGAAGCCGAAAGTCTGGTGTAGCATGGTATAATATAGTAATCGTAGAGTAGAAGAACATAATACAGTATCGTATCGTATGGTGTAGTACAGTATAGTAGAGAGCGGGGCATCGATACTTTCTCTCTCCGGGTCGCCGACTGCGGTGGAACCTGGGAGCCGTTTGGTGCCCCCTGAGCCGGGATGAAGAGATCTGCGGCCTTTGCCACGGCCACATGGCCCCAGCTTCCCAAACTAGACTTTCCGCAATCTTTTTTCCCACCCACCCAGCTGACCAAGCAATCTTGGGAAAGGACATCTGTAGGTCCGTCTGGTATCACAGCTCCAAGCCTGGAGTGGACTCAAAAATCTTGAACTTCCAAATGCGCGGGACCCGTGTTGCTGTCTGGGGCAGGGACTTCCTACGACCGTTGTACCACCGAACAGTCCCCATGCCTTGTAACTGCACGTTGCAAAGGCTCAAGCGGCTGAAGGCTCTGTCCACAACTGAAGCTCGCGCGTCTGGCCGGCTTGGGAGGAGGGGCCGGGGCTGCCTCAAGAAAGGGCTGCGCGGGCGCTCGAGTTCAAGGTGCTACAGCGCCAGGCTCCGGGCAACCCGAGAAGCGGCTGCCCCTTGGGCGCGGCCGGTGAGCTCCTTGGCCGAAAGCGTTCCAGAAGAAGGCACGCACTCCTGCTCCTGTTGCCCGGACCGGCGCAGGTGGAGGCGACCTGAGAAGCGCTTGAGACCATGTGACACCGTGGAGATGCAGTCGTGACAACGGAATGACGGCCTCGGCGCAATCTCCGGAACAGGGCTCGATGGAGCAGCAGAGGCATCCTGCACCCCAAACGTTCTGAGAGTTGAGCTGTCAAATAGCTTGAACCATCTGGTCCTCCGTGTCTGGAGCAGGAAGGAGATTGTCTGGGCCTGGCGAACGTTAAGTGGGGGTTCATGAAATTTCACAATATTTCACAAGGGCTTAACGAGTTGATTCTGCAGAGCATGCGGCGGCCAATTCGGAACTGCGCTGGTTTCAAGTGTCGCTCTCTCGGCTGCAGGCGGATTGCTTTCACATCTCCGCTGGCGAGAAGCTTCACCTTGTCACTTCTTCGCCACATGTGATTCACGAAGTGCTGGCAGCTTCTCCCATGCCGTTGACAGAATATGCAGAGTAGTAACCATCAACCTTGAACAACTTGAGCGACACGCCGCAATTGCGAATCCTACTGGTCCTACCTTTTTCGAGCTTCGCCAGATTTCTCATGCGGGGCTCAGCCATGCCAAACCCCGGCCTCCCAGCGGCCGGATGCCGCGTCGAAGCGCTCCAACTTCCCGCGCCTCGTTTGCAGAGGCTCCTGCATGAAGAGATGCCTTGGGCGTCTGGGAAGCGTGCGATCCATTGAGCGCTGCGGCCTGCTTCAGGTTGGTGAGCATGACCTCGGAGTTGCGCAGCAATCCGAACCACCTTGGTCCACAGCCAGGGCCAGCTGGCCGGCTTAGGGACTGGACCATGGCGCCCGGCTGAAGGCCATCACCCTCCCCTGACCTAAAGAGAGATACGTGTTTTTTCTGAGGCCACTGTACGCCTAGTTCACCTCTCCGAGCTCGTGGCAGTGGCTCAAAGCTCACAGGCCTTGAGGCCGGGCGCCTGGAGACTTTTGACACACTGCCCGCGGTGCTCTCTGCAGACAATGCAAAGTCGCTGAGCGGCATGCGGTGGCTCTGTCCGACCTGACTGTGTTGCAGATCACGCCCAAAAGAAGAAGCATCTGTGCAAACTGCTGAGGGTGGAGCTGCGACTTCTGCTTCTGCTTCTGCTGCTCTCATCACTGCTATCCTCCGTCAATGCTGGGCCGTCACTATGGCAGCGCAGCAAGGTCAAGCATGGCCAAGGACGGTCCTGGCATGCAGCTCTCGCAGCAGCTGCCCGTCGCTCCTGCAAGAACACAACCGCCAGCGCCAGGCAACACGATGAGCCTCCCATGGACCAGCTGCTGGCCTCTTCGGCATCCACGGCGTCTTTTTCTCGTTCCCTAGCTCGCCTCAGGGCATGCCAAATTTGTGGATCCGCCTGGACATCGCTGTCGCTGCTACGAATAGTAAGCATGCAGCTCTTCTGCTAGCTTGCCTCGCGAGTTTCTTTCCCAGCGCAGCAGCAACTGGAGAACTCTGCAACAGTATCGTGTTGTAAGGGCAGGGCGCTTGACAGTTGCCTCGTCCATGAGATCGCTCTGTGAGCTCTCTCCTGACGTCAACCAGAGCCAATCAGGCCCGAAGTACCTTCCTTGTCTGAGACTGGGGCTCTCCCTTGCAACCAGACGCCGAGCTGCCTCCTCGTCCATAAGTCCGTCATCACTTCCTTCAGATCGTGATGAAAACAAAAAGTGCCATTGCAAGTACGACCGGCCTGTGGCTGTCTGTTGGTCGAAGCGACGGGAGAGTTCGTCATCCGTGTATGCTCGGCCTGCCCAGGTGCGGACCTGGCTTCAGCGGAGGCTTTCATCAGGCACGTGTCTTCGGCTGCTAAGGCTCAGGCTCTCGAGTCCTGTTCCTGGAACTGCCGCCGCATCCGGTCTACACTTCAAGCTCCATGCTTGCCAAACTGCTTTTCTTGCACGTCTCTTGCTGTCATGCCTTCGACTTGCTGCTCTGGTGACCGACATGGAGTTCAGTTAAATTAACCATGGAGCAATGTCCATGCTAGAGTGTGGGCATTGCGGCTGGTCGACTAGTGCTGCTGCTTGATTCAGCTACTCAGGGCACGTCTGCCTGCAAGGGAAGAATCTGCGCTGACAGTGGCTAATGGTTCCCACTACTTCACGGCACATTTTGACATGGCTGCGCCATGCCGTGTCTGGGACTTCTACGCTGACGAAAGTGAAGCATCAGAGGTGGCTGCTTGTTTTGAAAGGTGCAGGGCTCAAGGGTCTTCTGTCAGACATTGGATGCTTATGTTCGCCTATGTGCTGATTGCTTTTCGACTGCAACTAGCCGTCACCTCCCCGCTTCAACAAGAGAAACCTGGTAGTAAAGATGTATACGGCGATGCGCAGGAGTGCACATGACGGGTGAGACGCGCATGGTCAAAAGCTTCCGGAAGCTCCAAGTTCAAGAGGTCAGCCTCAACGACAGAAAAAATCCCGAACGTTCCTTGCTTCGCATTATGGCCTCCAGCAGTGACCCCAGTGATGCTGCGACCTCCAGCGTTGCTTCGAGGCTTTGGCCCGAAATCTGCGATTGCAGCAAACGCTGCCGGCCTTCAGCTTCTGTCTTTGCGAGACGGAGTGCTCGGCTTGCCTTCCAATCTTCTGCGCTTCGCCGTCTCCACCTCCGAGTGGGAAATGAGAGAACCATGAAATCTCGGGAGGCCAAGCAGCGCCTGCTCCGTTTCACCGGACTCCTCTGCTTTTCGAACGGACTCGACCAAGTACTGGAAAGCATCCTGACACAGACTCGACATTCATTTTGCGTTCCGTTCTCAACCCTGCGACGTTACGCGTGCAGCAAAAGGTCCTCCGCACTGTCCTTGAAGACCAGCATGTCTAAGTGCGATTGGGTCAGCCTGACAAGACGATTTCTGGCCAGGATAGCGACTGACTAAGATGCAACAACGATTTCACTGAGCTCTGCACATGCCACATTCCATCAAATACTGGAAGTTGATGGTCTTCTTCCAGAACTCTTCGCCCAACAGAATGATCGGCAAAGGATGGGAGATTTTCCTTGCAATAGCTGCAAGCTGGAGACGAGACAGGCGGGAGATCTGCGCCAAGTTGGCGCCAAGAGGCTTGGTCTGCAGGAGCACTAGCAACTCAAAGAGCTCATCCAGCGACCCGAAACCTGGCATCATCTGCTCCAGGCCATCATCTCGGCTGGTCACTGCCCGGCCTCCTGGGCAGACTACGAGGCCCATGCACTTGTAGGCCATCCAGAATTTCCGCATGAAGAAGTAATGGAACTCGAAGGCACCCTCCTCCGACACGTACCTCCCGCATGTCCCCACTCTCTCTCTTTTTGCCACTTGGCTGCCGAGCTGCAGCCAAGGCTCTTGTTCAAGGAGCCCCACCTGTGGGTAGGCACGCATACAAGAGCTTCTTTGCATCTCACATGCCGTTGAGTAGCTCTGGCCGGCTGGCCCCGAAGCCGAGCGTCTTGTCTCCTAGGCACGACCCGCGGCCCTACACAACTGCACGTCTACGATTTGCCCTACGCCCTACCAAGTCCTCAGTAGTCTGAGACAGCAAAGCCGTCCTGCTTCGTGGGCGCCGCGATTCGCAGCCTCCATGATGCCAGGACCACCACCGGTACTGACGTGATACGACCTTGGAGGACAGCAAGCCTGGTGCCGTCTTTCCGCGGATGGCTTGAGGGGCGCACGGCAATCCTTTGGCGGCGCGCTGCCGGTTCCATTCGCCGAGCTTCTTTCCAAGCTCCATGGCCATCCTGAAGTCAGAGCATAGGGCATAGGATGCTCTCCCGCCGCAAACGTTGGCAAGAGACGGCATGATTGGTATGAGGATGAGAGCTCAGAAAATCTTTTTGCCGAGGTTCACATAGAACTTGTCCATGGCCTGTATCTTCTGCGCAAATCGGAGCTTGGCCTGCATAGCTTCGACCTGCAGTGTTCCGTAGACACTAGCTGCAGGAACACATCGAAAAAGCAAGGATGGTGGAGGGTCATTTAACATAGACCCTGAACAACAGGATCCGGAGTAGAAAAACACCGCTGGGGTACCCCTGAGGCCTCCTCTTCTGCCGTGAGCTTCTTGAGCTGCTGCTCCAGGCCAGCAATGTGCTTGACGCGGTCCTGACAGGGAAAACAGGTTCTCTATGACAGGTCTGGCCATGTCTTTCTTGAAGCCGCCTCTGGATGCATCATCAGGTGCGAGCCGACCTGCCAACACATACTCTAGACTCTAGCCCGCCCACAAACGAAAGTAGTTCTGTCTGAGCGGCGATAATGAAATAATTGCTAATGTCATGCTTGTCCAAGCGCTGCATGGGCTCGTAGAGCTCACACCTCAGACAGCCCACAGGAACAGCCCCTCGCCTCCGGTTACAATTCGGCTCTGAGCTCTTCGCATAATCCGGACATGGCGAGAGGTCGCCGCGCCCAGGAAGTCTGGGTTCTTGTATGCCTCAGAAGGATGGGGCAATCTCTTTCAAAACGTCTTAAAACAAAAACTTGGCCGCAGCGCCTTGATTGTCGGGACGTTTTTGAGCTCGCCGTTGCCACTCATTGCGGCGGTTCTGTCTACTAACCCGCTTGGAACTGGAGCCAGTGCCTTCGGTAACTGCGACCTCGGGCTGCGCAGGGGCAAGCGGAAGTTCGGCTGGTTGCGTCAGTTGCACAAGACTGCGCTCTCCTCTTTCGAACCTGGCTCCTGGTGGGTTCGGAGATCATCGGAAGCTCTCCATCACTGAAGCCGGCATCTCACCTGGCTGTGTGGAGCGCCCTTTTGTTGTCCAGACATGCACACGTCCTTTGGCACGTTTTTGTGGTAAGCTTATGGTGTGCGCAAGACTCACAGAAAGATATCAGCGGCCTCTGAAAGCTTCTAATCGTCCCCGCTGTTGAAAGGGGACAAAGGCCTCAAGCGCTCCGTCATCAGGGTTCGACGAGAAAGCTGGGAGTTACCGCTCTTTTTGAGGCCACTCTGTAGTGTTGCCGGTTTGTCCTCAGGAAGACGGCTTGTTCCCGCCTGCAGACTCAGCAAGGAGAAAGTCCTTTGCACCGCTTTCAAAACTCGTCGCTACTGGGTTGGCATCTGCCTACTGGGCTGCACCTGCCCTACCGCTAACGGGCCGCAGAAGGCAGGCGAGAGCATCGACGGAGTGGCAATCAAGAGATGGAGCAGTCAGGAGCCCAGGCACAAAGGCTGTTGGCTGCAGACGTCGAAGCAGCAAGGCCCCTCACCATCTATTCAATTTGGTCCACTTTCTCTTGCACGCAGTCTGCAGGGAAAGGACACGGATGCCCAGCTAGAGCGGGAAGATTTGGTCAAGGCACGGTGTTGCTGCTCTCGTCACAAGTGTCGCAAACCAGAAGGCTCAGTCCAACTTCTGCTTCGGTGTCTCTCCTACTGGTTGAGCCTGTTCGGTGGACCCACCGGTTTCCGTTGTATGCTTCTCGTGACTTCGAGAGGGTCCTTCTCTGAGGCACGGGCTTTGTGCAGCCAATTGGAACTGGGTATTCCATGCGGCCTGGCCATGGAATGGGACTACCTGCAGGACTTAAAGGCAGAGATAAAGCGCTCATGCCTCACATGCCGCCAGCATGCGGCATCTCACAACATCTCCCAGCTGCACGGGTTTCTTTGCATAAACTGCCATAAACAGTCTCTCACTGTAACCGAAAAACACCCTCCATGTCAAATCCAAACAAGGCCTCCTTCGCCGAGCCATTGCCAAGCGACCGTCTGCAAAGCTGGGAAACTTCAGAAAACACTCTAGACTACAGGAACATGCAGAACCCTCAACGAAGCCCTATAGTCTCTGGTTTGACTCTGTGGTTCGTCAAGAGTTGTAGGCATGTGCTGTGGGACCTGCGGGCACAGGAGTTAGGGCTCTGATTTTTCTGATTTTGTCAGTGCTTTTGTGTATTTTTCTGTTCTGCTTGGTGTATCTTGGTGTAAGAATTCCGAACGAAGATTGTGCAGCTAGCCAGCATTCTATCGGTTTTCATGAACATTTCCTTGGCATTTTTTGTGCATTGCTAAGGATTTCACAGGACTTTGTGAAACTTCTCAGGTTTTGCTGTAGTTAAGCTTGCGTAGGATTTCCTGCGATTCCGTGGGATTTGAGAAGCTTTCATAGGATTTCACGGGAGTTTCGCAGGAATTCATAGGACTTCTTGAGACTTGCTGTGAATACGTCGGGGTTCATAGGGCTTTGTATTATTGGTTAAGAGTTCGTCAGATATCAAGGGGCTTTCAGAGGAATTTACCCTCTCGCAACTCGGACTCCGCCGGTCTCTTGTGCCCAACTAGATCAAGCAACTAGACTGCAGGCTGACAATCACTGCTACACCACAAGGGATTCTCAGATTAGGTAGGATTTCCAAAGATGTCGTAAGATTTGCTAGGATCTTAAACCTTCATGTGCAATGCTTGCTTGATTGGGTGCCTGCTTGCTGAGCACAAGAAGCGGAAACAAAGCAACAAAACAAACGGAAAACAATACCGAAAAAATAGCCCCCCCAGGAGTTAGGAGATTTTTGCCTCCTGCATGGCTGAACATGTCGCGAAGCAGGGTGATGTTAGGAGATGATTCCACTCATGAACTGACGTGGTTTTGACTCGTTTGGAATGGCTTGGGTCGTCCCCGTTGCCTGTAATACTACAGACTGAACCCTACAGGAGCCATCTTGCCTTGTGCTTCGTCAGGGAACTTAGCGGCATCGGCCGTGGGGCAGCCGTCCCGATGGCGCCCTTAGATCTGAACGGGAAAAGCTCACACAGAAACAGGTAGCTCACACCTCCCCTGTCCAGTTTTTTGAAAGGGCTGCCTTTTCTCACTGTTGCTGTGCCCCCTTCACGCACCGAGGGGCCTCTATGAGCTCCTCGACCACTTGGAGCTCCTTCTTCTTGGACATCGCGGGCATGCGCCGCTCAGCCTCGTCTCTGACCGTCTTCGCCTTGGCCTCCGCTCTGGAGATCTGTGCAGCTCCGCGTGCACTAACTCTGCCGGATATCGTAACTCAAGGGCTATGCATGGCTATGCTTGAATCTGTTTAAATGTTGGCAGTCTTGCCTAGCAGTGCTCCCTGGTGTGGCGATGCCTAGCCACAGAACTTGTGGGGCCATGTTACAGCTTTTTTCAACGAGTGTGCACTTCGATGTCCTGGTAAGCGCAAGACTTGTCCAACCCAAGCCAGAACAAACACCGCTCTTACGATTGCACCTCTGGCCAGCCCACCTCTTCTTGCTGAAATGCCAGAGAGAACTTGATAGGTCCTATGATTAGTTTCCAAAACTCACAGTGAGAAACCACTGCTGTGCTTATGGTCATTTTGTTGTGCTGTCTTGTGGTGCTGTTTTGTCGGTACAACTGCAGCGGCTAGAGCAGCTGCAAGCGATGCCAACTGTATATTTTTCGGTGACAGGTGCAGGCATACCACTTGGCGTTGCAGAAGGCCAGCAGAACTGCTGTGGCAAACGTTAGCAAACCCTTTTCGCCGTTACCCCCAGGCAGACTGCAAAAGTCGTTTGTATGTGCCAGGAGTAGCCCCGGTTCCCGCAATATTGCTTTTTGTCGCGACCGAAGCAGGAAGCCGGCTATGAGTTGTTTGCCCTTTGTCCTCTATTGCGAGACCGTTTTGGTGTGCAGATCGATGCCTCTGCGTTGCTAGCAGAGTCTAACGCCAACCGTGGATTCGAGCCTGGCTGCGGGTCGTGGAAGGGCCTTTCTTCGCATGTGGTATGCAAGCCTTCGCCGAGCAATCTTGGAAGGAGGTATCTGCGAGGGATTCGTGGAGGTGGGGCCGCTCCTCCTGTCTTGCTGAAACTCTTCTTGGAGGCTCTGAGGAGCTCCCCGGAGGATTGCGACACCGATGCTTCCCTCTACTGGCGGATTCAGAGACATCACCGCCATGCTTCCCCCGATCGGGATTCCATTTATCTTTACTCTGCACGTTAGAATCCCAAATTGTGTACCACACCGTCTGGAGAATACTGTGCAGGCTTTGCAGCGACGGCCGGAGTGAAATCGAATTGTAATGCCACAGAGCCTTTACAGCACATTCACCCTGCTCACTTTGTCTGAAGAGGCAAGGAAGCGGAGCAACCACATCAACGATGTGGCGGTGTGGGGCAAGGACTGCTGGCGAACCCACTGATGAACTTTCCACCATGAAACAGCAAACGGACTAAATGGGGCAGGAGGCCTACACAAGCAACAAAATCGCGCCCCTGCGGAAGCGAGACAGACACACACACACACTGGCACGTGTTGGGCCGCAACGACATGCCTTGGCAGCGCTTGGCGGCTTCTTCTCAGCCGCAGCCTTATTTGGCGAGCTTGCCTTGGCTTCCGGTCTGCAGACCTCAGATGAGTTCCGTGGTAGGATCCTTCCTATAACCTCTAGTAGGGTACACCTCACTGCAAAAGCCTCACGATCTACCCTGCGGGCCTTGGCCTTGGCAGTGCTCTTGGGCAAGGTCTGGGTAACCTTGTCAGCTCAGCCATGCAAGCTCCTAGAGTCTCGTTCCCCTGTCCGCCTTCTTGGCCTTTTTGCTGGAGACGGTCGCCTTGTCGCCCCGGCCTTGATGCTTCGCTGGTGACACGCCAGAGCAAAGAACCCAGGCTACAGCCGAGGAGCCCATGCCCGCAGCAAACACACGGCCGGCAGCATAAACTACAAGAGGCCAAGACAAATATTCGATGGAGCGCAAAGGCTGGCATGATGGCCGAGATGGGTGGGATGCTCAACGAAGTAATCTCTCTGCACCAATGCCATCGGGGCTTGCTTCTTGCTTGCCGGCTCTGGAGCACTTGCGGGCGGCCATGGTAAGGTGACAGACAGCCTGACCGAGCCTGCAATTATCTACAGGAAGTGGCGTGCTCAACGTCGTGCAACCACACATCTGATCAGCGCACACAGCAGGAGTCGCAGCTCCCAGTCTGCAGGTTTTCGTCCAGCAACGATTCTGCGTGAGTTGACCCGGTTCTATCGGGCATGACATGGGTACTAATAGCTAGCGGCAAATCGAAGTCCACATCCGCTACAGAAACTTGGTACAGCTGGATGCTGTTCTTTTGAAAGGCCTTCAGATGTTGTTCTTGAATGCGGCGCCAAAACAAGGACGACCAAGCTTCCCGAAAGTGCTATCTAGAGAGTCTAGAGAGCACTTTGTTGTCGGAGCACCTGTTTGTGCTCATATGTGCATGCCGCAGGTCTCCGGACGACTGCGCAGTCGATGGGGCCCTGAAGCTCAGCTATGTCCAATGAGCTGTCTGTTTCTTGGTTCTCCTTCAATTTCTTGGAAACTTATGCAGCATAGGTGGTAACTTCTGGTTGTAAACAGACAGCCGGCGGTGCCAGGTGCCCTGTTAGCAACTTCGAGCAGTTGTTTGCAAGGTGTGCCAGAACAGCCTGCTTTCACCTTTCTCAAGAGTGCTTTGCACATCTTTGCACACTACACAGTGCTCTTAGAACTGGCCTGGGCCTGCCTCAGTCTTTTGGACTTGTCTGGGCCCGTTCCAGCGCCGAGATTATGTGTTTTCCGTACCTCAGCTCGCAGATGGCCAGGGCGATTGCAAACAACGCAGAAAAAACTCAACGGATCTTGAACTTCCCCAGCCATGCTGCGTGTTCGACTTCTTGAGCACCGGCATGTGCTCTCGAAGTTTCCAGAACAGTAAATCACGCTGTGGACTTTGCGCCAGTGCAATTACCCGTTGAACGATGTAGTTGCCAAACCTGGGAGCTGCGAGTATTTGCGTCTGTCACTGCTAAAGGTTCACGTGTTCCCCTGCGCGCCTGTCTCGCATCATGACAAGAAGTGGCGGATGCGGATCACCCTGCTGGCCAGTTATTGCCTGATCCAGGAGTTAAACCTTATTGAAACAGGGCAACTTATAGTTTCCTTAGTTACATCCCACCTCCACGAGGTGCGATCTTTCCTCTGGCGTTGCGCACTGCAAGGCCTTCTCAATCACGTTGCTAGCATACTTGTGGCCTTGGGTGGCAGAAAGTAGAGCAGCCGCTCAAGACAATGGAAGCACTCAAGCTCCTCTTTGCTGTAAGTCTCGGGCAAGAGAGTGACAAAATGTTTTTGCGGACAATATTCATCACCTGCTGCCGGTCACCAGGTCGACTGCTGTGCTCCATAACATGTTGCACAACCTCAGCCGAAGCAACACGGCGGGCGTGTTCCGGAGCTGGCGCTCTCTGCAAGCCATGACTAGCAATAAGGCCAAGAAGCGTAGTTGCCGTACTGATCCGTTGCCAGCTCCATACCTGACCCGGAGATATGTCAAAGGCCATCTCTCTTTTCCCTCATCGCCAGGCTAGACCCGTGATGATTGTGGTACCCGTAGAGGTAAGGACGACAAGGCTTCATTGTAGATAAAACTCCGTCACTGCAGGTTTCCGAGAACGGCGCAGCGAGCACGAAGGGACATGCGTTGTTGGACTTTCTAAAAAAAGAACCGCATCCTTATCCTCGCAACAAGAAGACAATCCATGCCGCTGATGCTGCTGCTACTGCTGCTGCTGCCACCACCACCACCACCACCACGACGACGAAGACAACCATAACCAGAACCAGAACCACGACGACGACGATGACCACGACAACAACCACAACCACAAACACAAGAACAGCAATCACAACAAGAACAACGACGACGACAACAACAACAATCACAACAACCACCACCACCACCACCACCACCACCACCACAGCAACAAGGCAACAACGAACAACAACGACAACAACAACGACAACAACAACCACAACCACAACCACAACCACAACCACAACCACAACCACAACCACAAGCACAAGCACAAGCACAAGCACAAGCATAAGCACAACCACGACGACGACGACGACGACGACGACGACGACGACGACGACGACGACGACAGCGACAGCGACAGCGACAACGACGACGACGACGACGACAGCGACAACGACAACGACAACGACAACGACAACAACGACGACAACGACGACAACGACGACGACAATCATTCTCATTCTTGAAACAGGCATCAACCAATGGAAATTTGTCGTTTGACCCCTCTAGTGTGCCACCGAAGCTTAGGGTTTAGGTTTAGGGCTTAGGGTTTGTGCCACCGAAGCACGACCTTCCTCCGTTTTGTCTCCTTGGCCGTGGGGTTGCCAGTCAAGATGTTTGAAGGTCTTGGGGCATTTAGTGGATGGGGGTGTGGGGGCTCGGGACTGCAGGATTCCATTGTCTAGCGCTTCGAACCTTCCGGTTCAAGGTTCCGGCTTGAGGCCTTCGATCCATAAGGTTTAGGGTTTAGGGTTTAGGGTTTAAGGTTTAGGGCATACTTAGTGCAGTTTACAGCCACCACAGCTGCGAGGACTGCTCGACCCAGAACTTTTTCCCTTGAGCAAAAACACCCAACCCTGAAACGCTGTCTGCTGCCTGGAGTACCTAGCAAACCCCTTTGAAAAAGAACCCTTGCAATGGGCGCTTCTGGAACCCTATCAATCCTTTGTACAAACCTACAAAGGTGCTAAAAACCCCCTCTAAACTGCAAAAGCCCTACAAAGAACCCTTGCAATATCTGAGAAAGTTGACATGACATGCTGAGCCAGCGGCCGCCAGAGACGTCCGCGACGGCCTCAAGCAAAATGCAAAACACCTTACTTACCAAGTCGCCAGAGACTTCAAAACCATTCAATTCAGAAATACACCTGAAACTGCGACCTTGTTACAGTTTAAGGTATATTCCTTAACCAAGGGAAATTGGAGTCTCGGGGTACCCCGCAGGAAAACAGTGTTGCTTATTTCGGGTTTGGTGTCTGGGGTGTTCAATGTTTTGTTGGCATTGGATTCTTGGTTTGGGGCGGAGGGAAGAGGTATAGGCTTTAGGACTTTCTAGCGCTTGCCGTCTAGGTTACGGGCGATAGCTAGGGAAACTGGGAGCATTGTGCTTTAGTGTTCAAGATTGAAAAGTTTATAGGGTTGATAATTAGCAGGATCTGAACACCATCACTCTCATCACGACAGCAGGACCGGTTTCGGCATGCAGAACTGATGGTTTGGAGTTGAGGGGACCTGTCTCAGGGCCCAGAGGCACGATATGAGCGTTTAGGGTTTAGGGTTGTAACCAGCAAAGCAAACTGCCGAAGGGCTCAGGTCTGCTTGTTGGTCTATATGCCCAAAATGAACGCGCTAGAAGCCATGATCAAACCCTACATTGAAAGCAAATCTAAACTCCCACAGAAATCCCAAACAAGACCTGACTGAAAAAAGGCCCCTTTCAGCCCTCATGAACCCCCCGTGCAAAAGCTCAGGTGTCCACAAGGCGCTGTCAAGGGGGGCCGACCCAGTACGTGCCGGGATCTGAGGGATCCAGGAAGCTGACACTTACTGCGGTTCGGGGATGAGCAGAGTTAGTTTAGAGCAGGGTTTGGGGTTTTCGGGCCAGGGCCTTGGGCTTCGAACATTTTAGGGTTTAGGGTTGGGACTTCTTTTCTGTACGTAAGATCCCTGTTCGATTTTGCTGGGGACTTCTATACAGGGGGTTGCAACAGGGCGGAGGATGTTGCAAAGGCTACTGTTTCGATTTCGTAGTCGTTTAAGATTCCTTCAATCGGGCTTCATCCAGGGTTGATTGGCAGTGATACGTCCAGCCTTAACTTTATAGGCAGGTTGTTGTAGCTGCCCTACTTCTAACCGTATATACTACGTCCGCGGATACTTGAAATGCACTCTCAACTTCAACCCCGAACACCTATGGAGACTTTGTAGGAACCCCTGAAAGGTTTAGGGTTTGGGATTCCCTTTCACAAACCCTCAAACAGGTCAACCCATCGAAACCAGAAGTTCCAGTACTGTAACCCGAAAATACCGCTATCCGCACAAAACCTAAACCCTTGCGAAAACCTTCTTAACCAGGAAAAAACCCTAGTCCCTATAAGCGCTACTAAATCTCAACAATGAGCCCCCTAAGAAACATGAAAGCTTGAATCCTGCACGGTTTGAGGTTTAGGTGCCTAGGCGTGTAGGAATTTTGGTTTGGTGATGGAGGGCGTAAGGCACGCTAGATTGAAGGTCTAGGGTTTACGGCTTCGGGGTTTAGGGTTTAGGGTTCTCAATCGTCTGCACCCCTCTGCCGCAAACCTGGCGTGGCCAAGCTGGAAGAGCGAAGAAATTGTAGCAGTAAAGCACTGCACTGACATTTGGGAGGCTGACGGGGTCGCGTTCCCCCAAACCCTAGCTAACAACAAAGCCTGGTGCCACAAGTTACGATTCCTCATAGGGTTTAGGGTGTAGGGTTCAAAGCTCACAAACATCACCTCAGCTGATCAGCCTCCAATTCACCTGCTGCTGGTACCGGCGAAGCCTGGCATTGGGGTGTAGGACTTGGGGGCCCGGGACCGCCGTGATTCTATACATACCTGAATTACGGTCCTAAGTACTCTCGATTCCTATTCCTTGAATTATACCCTTCCATTCGGGTTATAACCACACCTAAGTCTGTTCGAAATTACACAAAACCCTTTTGAGGGCCGGAAGCCCATACATGCAACTTGAGTAACCCATATGTGGGTAGTTCTCTAAACCGTTTACTTAGGGGCTGAGTACCCTAGCCCACACAAAAGGTTAACCTTTTGAATTCTAGTAGGATTATAGAAGCCCCACAAGGTTAAAGGTTACCTACTCAGCCCCTCTGTTCAGGGTGCCGTACCATACTTGGGACCAAATTGGACCCTAATTTAGAGAACTTCCCATAATCCCCACGGCCGCTGTCTGAGGAAGAACCCTTAGCGCTAAAACCGGCTTAGGATTCCCGGTCCAGGGTTCCCGAATAAACCCGACCTTCAAGGGGCCCTAAACCCAAAACCCTAAATCCAGAACCCGAAAAGTCCTAAACCCTGAAGACCCTTGAAAATGAACTCTGTGCCCCGACCAACTCAAAGGCCCTCAAAACGGTGCCAGGCTCCACGATGCCGAAGGCGTCGGGTTCTGTCCAACGGTGCTTTTGTGGGGCGCGTGGCAAATCGGTGTCGGGAACTGCTGGGTTTTCGGGTCGATGACGTAGCGTTGAGGGTTTGGGGTTTAGAGTTTAGACTTTAGGGTTTAAGGTTTAGAGTTTGGTTGAGGGTTTAGGGTTTAGGGGAGAGTTGTAGAGGTCAAGGCTGGTGCGGTATGTAGAGGTTTAGGAAATTGGCGGTTTCGTCGGGGGTTGAAGAGGTTGCCCCGGGTTTCGAGTGCATTTAGTCGCCGGGGGTCTGCACAATGGGACATCTTCTCTTTTTCACGGTACGTCGTAGAGTGTTCTGCAAAAGGGGCTGTCCTATACCCTGAACCTTCGTGACGAACTTCAGCCCGAAACCCAAACCCTAAACATGAAACCTATAAACCTCGAGCCGAAACCCTAAACACTGGGGCTCGGGGCTCGTCCTGCTTTGTTGGGCTCACGTTGCTCATGTCGCTCGAATTGTAGGGTCGGGCAGGAAAGAAGACAGCAACTCCGTGATGAACCCTGAACATTAAAAAAGAGACGCAACTCGTGAATCCCAAAACCTGTTACGCTTCAGGGGTTTTAACATGACGGAAACATACAACTTGCGTGCAACTTTGCCCAGAACCGTTCAAGCAAAGAGGGTTGGATTCTGAACAACTCTAACTCTAGGAATATAGTGTTGGGCTTCAAAGGGGCTATGTTTGCTCCCTGGAAACCAGAAGCCTTAGATGACAGAAAACCGACTTCCAGAAAAGGTCTTGACCCCAGAGCAAACCCTAAACCCTAAACCCTGAACCCTAAACCCTAAGGCAGATCCGTTGCTGTTCACCCCCCATTGCCCTGGTAAGGCGTGGGGTTTGGATGCCAGGGCCCATAGAGATTAAGAGTGTCTAATGTGGGGGCCTTAATAATTAGAATAGGGTTTTGGGGTAGCTTATATTATAACTAGAATGAGGAACCCCCCCCCCAAAAAAAAAAATAGTATTGGTATTTGTTCAGGCCCCCACTCTACTCATCAAGGGCCTACATCAACTCAGAACCAGCCCAAGCCAAGCCCGATCAAACCACAGGCATGCCCTAAACCAAGAATCCCCGAAAGAGGAACCCTGCGGAAGCCCGGCTGTCCTGGTGTCTGCAAAGCGGCATCCGGCAAAGGGCCGACGATGGCCTGCCCAAAATCGTCTTCTGCAGGTTCTCTATGCCAAGGGCTTTGCTCTCTAGACGTTCGAACGGTTATTACCAGACTTTCCACATGTCCTTTTGCTTGCTAGACGTTCGAACTGTTAC